GCGGAACTCTACCCCGCCGCCGCGGCTCGGCCTCGGCACCGGCCCGAGGCCGGGGCCCTCCGCCTCGGCGCAGCGGACCCCTGCTGTGCCGACGAGCGCCAAGAAGATGAACCACAACTTCATGATCGATCGTGGAGATGTTTGGTGAGAGATTTCGACAGTGGTTATGATCGTATTTATAGCGAGGATTGAACGTAATTTAACCGTACTCCTGCAATTACGAGGCGATGCAAATTAAGTTTCGGTTACCTAAATTTATGAGTACACTGTAGTTTTCATTTGTTTGAAATCACGTACCTATGTGCAAAATAATACATATACGAATACTTTGTTGACGGATATATATATGTGTATATATATGTATGTATGTATGTATGTATGTATGTATGCATGCATAAAAACAAAAGAAATGCTTATATACTTAAAGATTTGCTTATTAAAGATGAAGGGTGAATGTAACTGAACTAAATTTAAAGCTACAAATTAATGAAAAAAAAAAGCTATTAACTACGGGAATTTAATGCCACTATATTCATTAATTATATTCTATGTAATAAAGCGATTCCACAAATTAAAATGACGATTCCTTACTGCTTCGTTTGTTTCGGTGAAATATGAATAATTTGAAAAATATATTTTTAAAAATGATCGTTCGTATCGCTTACAAAAATGAATAAACGAAAAATATTTTTACCATCTACGAAAATATTTAGACATGAATTGTTGTCGGCAATTAAAATATTTTTCATCAACTAATTACATAAGCAATCATACTAAGAAAATATTCTCCGAATCATTTATTTTGCGCGAAATACATGGAAATCACTAACTCTTTCCAAACTCGAACTTAAACTCTCTGAAAATTTTTATCAAAATCTAAAACTTTTTATCGACCGAAATCTCGGAAAATTTAATTTTCTTCTCAGCATATTTCTTTCTCACAATTTTTTTTTTTTGTTATCACACCCGAAGCATATGCTTTTTGCTACTATCCACTAGGCAAACTCACTAGACCAATGCATTGCACAAATGCACTCTAAATTTGCTTCGGATGGAAATGATCCAAAGGAAAATTCAATAGAGCTTTAGCATAGCTCGAGCGTGTCTTCTTCAACGACTGCCGAAATTCACATTCAATCCCTCTTCTAACAGGCTTCGCTGCGTCTCTATGATCTCCTCCGTTTCCCACAATCTCAGTAACCTTCACGTCAGTCGCGCAGTCTTGCACCGACTGTTCCCTCAAATTCGAGCCAATGCACCAAATTCACTCAATTCGACACAAGTAGTCGATTCCCTTCCGGTCGAGGTCCATTAGCAAGCTTCAAGTCGAGGCCAAACACAACTTGCCCTTCCCCTACTTTTATCTACTCCTCTGCCTCTTGCAGTCGTGATTACATTTGAACCTTACCCATCAGAATGGGTCTGTGACCCAATCTGTTATTCTAAATATGATGGGTTAGGTTGTTAGATGGATTGGTTATATTTAATAAATATGCCATAAGTTGGTTTAGACATAATGCGGATGTTAAATGGGTTTACAACTTACTTAAACTCAACTCACTTCCATGACTCTTCTCTTCATTCTCTCTTGCCTTCGCTCGATCTCGCGCTGCCTTTCTCTGCACTCTCATCTTAGTTCGGGTATAATGGTTAAATATGGAACTATTTTAGCAATATAAGTCGAGTCGGGTCGAGTATGACTCGTATATTTGCATTGCATGAAAAAATGGGTTAAATGAGTCTATTCGGGTCGGACCATTTTCGACATGACCCGATCCACCCATTTGACGGGTCTACCACCAATGATACGTCGAGAGAAATTTCGAACCATTCTGTTCTATCATGGGGGAAATCCAATAGGCCCAAGAGAATCGAATGGGCTCGACCATCACCAATCTTGACCTCTGTTACACTCGGGCCACTTTGGACATGTTGGACCAAGTTCTTGGAAAATTGCTCTACATTTTATTTATTTTTCTGTTGCAATTCTTGGTCAGCCTTTCTAATTAGTTGATAAAGAAACATCATGGGACTTGAAAACCTTAATGCCCCTTGATTGGCTTGTTAAGATACAAACGAATTCATTAGAAAAAAATGGGCACATCGACATGATCTTGGAAAAAGGCCCAAAAGGGGTTCCTACCAAAACAATTAACTCGAGAATTTATAAGTTTCATGTCTTATTAACGAAACTAGTTTTTTAGATTTTTCAATTTTTATAAGGATATTGTCAAAGGGCAGTCCCTAGACATTTTATCAGTAATCAAATCGGTGGATATTACGCTTTTTAATCGATTAACATTTTTCATGACTATGTGTAATCAATAGTTTGGAAATTAGCTATTTTTTATTAAGCTTTAATTAGTGCCGAGTCTGCCGAGAGTACTGAACGATACGTACGGAGGCGGGGTGAATGTAAAGCATCATTCTATTCTTCGTCGGCTTCGTGTCGATTGGCTAGTTCCTCTAGTCATTGTCTCGTGCTCGCGACATTAAGTAATAACCACCCCGTCGCTACCCACGATCTGAATCTTCGAAATTGGCGAGCCCAACATCGCAGCCCCCACCGAGACGTCAGAAACCGAGAAGTTCTCCTTACACGAGGCGAGCCCCTTTCCCGAGCTAGATCGGATTCGCGGCCTCGTAAAACGCGACTCGTCCTTTTCATCCCTCTGTCAAAGAGTGATCAAGAAAGAAACCACCAAATCATTGGCCGGCCTTCGAACGTTAGTTGCAGTTCACGGTCCGAACGATGTCCGCTCCCCCCCCATCGTCGGAAGAGCAGTCAAAACGACTCGTGGGCCACGGTCGTTTTGACGGTTTTGAACTTTTGGCCCACGGTATCGCACACCGGTTCATTTAATTTTCAATTAGGGCTCCTTTCGTTGTGAAAAAAAATTAAACATTTTTAAAATAAATAATCTTAAAAAAATGACCGTTCGTATCGCTTAAAATAATTAATTAATAAAAGATATTTTTATTTTTCGGATATTGCAAAGTTGTCCCGGTATGATCCAAGACTCGCTGCAAAGGGCCGACCTAGAAGGCCATAAAACAAGGACACGAAGGTTAAATTATACAGAATTATTTTTTGCAGGTCAACCGAAACTATATTCTAAGATATGCGACGTCATATTTCATAGGTCGTATCAGGATTTTCGTTTTGGCCAATGCGTCTCTTCCATCAACGTTAGAGCTCCGTATCCAGATTTGGTGTCAAATTGACATAAAAAAAAAAGGGATAATGACACAAACAGTCCCTGAACTTTGACTCAATGTGCAATTTGATCCCTGAACTTTTAATTTATTCAATGTAATCCCTGAACTTTAAAATAATGTTCAATTTGGTCCCTGAACTTTTAATATGTATTCAATTTAATCCCTGAACTATATAAAAATGTTCAATATAGTCCCTGCACTTGAATTAATGGAAGGACTGCATTGAACATTTTAAATAGTTTAGGGACTAAATTGAACACATATTAACAGTTGAGGGACCACATTGAACAAATCAAAAGTTCACGGACCAAATTGAACATTAGGTCAAAGTTTAGGGACTATATTGAACAAATTAAAAGTTCATGGACCAAATTGCACATTGGATCAAAATTCAGGGACTGTTTGTATCATTTTCCCTAAAAAAAATTGGCTTCTGGGGTTCGCGCATGCCGTTGGGAATCATGGCACGAGCTAACGGCTTTCTTATTGTTTTCTTTTTCAATAATTCGTTCGAATAATAACATAATTTCTTTTGATCACGTCGTTTTCAATAGCGTCGCACGCGCCGCAATTATTATTTTCTGAACATTTTTATTCTGATGATCTTATCTTGTTGCCTCCGGCCATGATCGCCGATTGAACACCCTCTCGTACTTTTACACCTGATAATGAATGCCGTCTGTGATTTGTCTCATCACGTGGTCGTTTTACGTGGCATTATTCACGCGTATCAATCCCCACACTCGGGCCAATGGCTCGGTGACGAGTGCAACTAGCTCCGGAGCTGACAGACGGAAATGCGCACCGCTCGGAAAAAAACGGGTTCCATCGATACGTGAATATGCAAAGGTACGATTCCGCGATGCGATTTGGAAAATGCTTAATCTATCTACCCCATATATTAGAAGTGTCCATTTCCTCGCAATATCGGTTTAGAATAATGTCCTCTTCATTTATTTCACCCTCGTTAATTATGGAAGTACGCGTGACATTAAATACATTCTTTCTTAAAATCTAAAAAGAAAAACAAAAATTCACAGTACGCATTACTCAAGATCAGCCTAGATAGACGGGTAAGATGTTTGACAATGACACGATCACTTATCCACTACTTCTTATTCTCTGTTTTTTAATTTCTTTCCCATTTACTAATATACTTCACTCCACGATAATAATCGGAAAATATAAACGGTTCATGAACTTTAGTCCAATGCGTAATGCGATCCATGAATTTTTAATTTATTCGATATGGTACTCGAATTTTAACCAAATATATAATATGGTCCCTGAACTCTTAGTGCATATTCAATTTAATCCCTGAATTATATGAAAACTATTTAATATAGGCATTCCATCAATTTAAATTGAGGGACTACATTAAACACTTTCATATTGAATATGTACCGAAAGTCCGGAGACCACATTGAACAAATGAAAAAGTTCAAGAATCACATCGAATATTCGACCAAGGTTCAGGGACTGCATCGAACAAATTAAAAATTCAGGGACCATATCGGACACCGGGACAAAGCTCAGGGACCGTTTGCCTCGTTATCCCGTAGAGATATTTTTCCTAAACTTATTTAGGAAAATATCCTCCAAATATATATTTTTTAGGATATTTATTAACCTGCCCGACCCGAAAAAAAAAAAACCAAAATCCGCGGGGCCCACGCCGAATAATCACCCAATGGAATCCGGGCAATATCTTATGTTCAGACACACACCGGCTGCAGCAAGGACCACTCCCACCATCATCATCATCATCATCTTCTTCTTCTTCTTCTTCCTCCTCTGCAAACCCTATCCACTCCACTCCATTACTCTCTCTCTCTCTCTCTCTCTCTCTCTCTCCCCGGAGCCTCCGCTTACGGTTGATGGACAGCCGCCTCCTCCCTCGCTCCCCTCCGACGCCGCCGTTCCTGCGCCCCGCGCTGAGGCCCCCCGCCGGCCGCGGGCTCTCGATCGCCTCCGGCCGCGGCGGTCGCCACCCGCCGCGCCCGCGGCGATCGCTGGCCGTCGTCGCCGGCGCGAGCCGCTGCGAGTCGAGCAGCCTGAACACGCCCCTGGTGCCGGAGTCGGCGGCGGGGCGGTACCTGACCCGGGTGCTGCAGAACCAGCGGCAGCTGTTCCACGTCGCCGTGGCGGAGGAGCTGAAGCAGCTGGCCGACGACCGCGACGCGGCGGTCTCGCGGGTGCTGCTCAGCGCCGGCTCCGATGAAGCGTGCCTCCACAGGTACTGGCGTGCTTCTATTGATCGATTGTTTGGGTTTTGTCTGTATCTAGATAGGCAAAGTTTGGACCTTGGAGTTTGCTGGATCATATTCGGTGGGGAAAATTCAATTAGATTGCATAATATAATATGCTCTGTCTGGCATTCAGCTTTAAGGACGGTTATTTCATTTACGTACTCGCTTCTAGTTTGGGATATAGTTCTCAAGTGATCATTCTGTGGTGACATCGAAATACAAATTACCAAACCATATTTAGCAAACAGAAACTGCTAGACTGGTATGCTGAATTAGATTGGTCTTGTCTGTTGAGAGGATTTAAGGAATATAGTGCATGGAGCTGGCTTAAACTTTTCATAATGGCAATTAGAAACAAAAAATGGGTCCTTTTGTACGTTTTGACCATAGGAGAAATATGACTTCTGGAGTTGAATTGGAATTATTCCGATAGGGTTCATACTTCAACATGCTTATCCCACACATATAGTCTCTATGCCAACTCTTTGATTTTGTTTAAGGAAATCCAAGATGGATTAGTTTCTGCTCGTATTGTCTAAATTGTTCGAGAGATCAGGGCTGCTTTGCCTAAAGAAAATTATGGTTGACAAAATCATTTTTGATCATGTCGTTTGCTAGAAAAATAACAGAAGAGTTGTTCGGTTAATAGGTACGGCAGCTTATAAGATGAGTAACTGAATTGAGGCACAACACGCCACTGATGGTTTGCTTATGCTTTGTGTGAGTTCTGTGGTTTTCATAAAAATTGTTGGTTCCCAGAATGCGAACTCACAACCATGTGAAAAGATGGAAGCAAGCACAAGAATTTGTGTTCATTTATATGATGAAGAAAAAGCTGAAGGTCGAATCCAGCCTCTGAAGAGGCTGAAGATGACCTTATTTACTTCACTAGCAGCCCTTTTGGATTGCCTATATAGACGGTGGTGCATAAAAGGTGTATATCAATGATGATAGACTTAACCATCTACTAGAACTTGAGCATAGTCATGGAATCTCGGTCGTATATATTCTTCCAGACTTATACAATATGGCCTGCCAATTGTTAGCATTCACAGGAAAATGACGATACTTTGAGAGCTGTACTCTCAACCAAAGAATTCTTCAAGTCTTTCATATCTGCACGATAACCTTAAGTTGCTAGCTCCGCATATGCTTTATATGTTGCCTTTGTCCATCTCCTTGCTGCTGTACTTTCAAACAGTTAAGTATTTCTGCTTGGATATGGTGCCAGCTTGAGTAATAGATAAATGGCTTTCTGGAAGTGCATGGCAGAAGATAATGTGTTTTGGGTAATTAAATACATCTGATAGAGCAAAATGAATGCTTGAAGCTTGATAGGGAAGATGGTAATAAGCGAGTGTGGATCAGCAAGGGATTGTTCCGCTTTACCCACTCTGCCCCCTTTCCCAACAATGCTTGGACTCATTTTTTCATAATATAAGAGTGTACTGTCTAAGTTCTTTTCTGACCCGCTACACTTTTACTTGACTACGTTTCTTTCTCAGTGTAATATTCCTTACTAATTGTTTCTCCTGGATCTGATTATGACTTTGTTCAGAATTACATTCTCTCTCTGCTGTTTATAGAGTTTGAATGAGTTTTAGTCTAAACAGTTTTAACTAGGATAATTTTTCTGCATAATGCGCCTGCTGCAGTTTTTAAGAGACAGATTCATGATTGGTGGGTATTTCGTCATCAACCATTGTTGTAGCGTACATTATCGAGTTATATCTACAGTCATGCATATACAGATTATTTAGTTATTGTAATATTAACAGTTCCAACTCACTGGCCCATAAGTAAATATCATGCCGGCACTACAAACCTTCACACTTTCATGACATAATCACTTGTCCACAATTTCGGGTTTTAAATGTCTTCCCAAGATTGAACAGTACATTTGAAACAGTTCAAAGCAGGAGGATCACTTGGAAATGGGGATGATGCTAGAAGGGGCTTTCTTAAACATCTGAAACATCAGAGTATGGAAAGAGCATCTTGCCAATTTCCACTTGAATGTCTGGCCTGCTTAGTGAGCATTGAGGAAATCACTGGGTGTTAGAAGTAGTAGCCATGATTTCCGGGATTCGTTGTGAATTGAAGACATGGTGATGGTCACTCAGAAGCAAGAAAAATGCCAGATTGCCTGCATATCGATTAACTGAAGCATGTATTTCTGAAATTTCATGTTTCGATTCCGGCTGAAACTTTAGATCTTTCCTTTGATCTGATTAAACTGTGCGTGTGAAATCCAGGAGGATTGCAGAAATCAAAGAGCGTGATCGTCAAGTTGCTATCAAAGATGTTATGTACATGCTTATACTTTACAAGTTCTCAGAGATCAGAGTTCATTTGGTCCCTAAGCTTTCCAGATGCATTTACAATGGCAGACTAGAGATATGGCCTGCAAAAGACTGGGAATTAGAATCCATTCACGGCATCGATGTTTTGGAGATGATAAAAGAGCACGTTTCTGCTGTCATTGGCCTGAGAGCAGATTCTAGTGTTACAGACAACTGGGCGACTACTCACATTCAACGACTCCAACTTGGCCAACTTTATGCAGCCTCTGTTTTATATGGTTACTTCTTGAAATCTGCTTCTTTGAGGCACGATCTCGAGTGTAGTCTAACTTTATCTCACCAGGGACACCGCGTCTTCCACAGGAACTCCCTTCAGTCTCCGAAAATTTGGCCATATGGGTGGAACAAGCTTGTTTGTGGTCGTGCTAGCAATGATAAGCTGTCTTTAGGCCAAGCGTCAATTCAAGATAGAAACCATGAAAAGTTGAGATGTTATGTGATGGGGTTTGACCCCGAGACCTTGCAGAGATGTGCAAAAGTCAGATCCAGGGAAGCCATTGATCTAATCGAGAAGCATAGCTGTGCTCTCTTTGAGGATGGGAAGATGGGTTTGATCAGTAGTGATGACGTCATACTTACCTCATTTTCAAGCCTAAAGAGGTTGGTTTTGGAGGCTGTTGCGTTTGGTTCCTTTCTTTGGGATGTAGAAGAGCATGTCGATACTGTTTATAAGCTCAATGATAACTGACGGAAGGAGGCGGGGGTACAGAACACCAAGTGGGATCTATCTCTGTCAGTCACCGGTGTATATAAGAGCTCGACTAGAAGCGCGAATTGTCCGGTTCACTCTTGTACATAGGAGTTTCAGGTATGCAAATCCACGTTCTCTTCTGTTTTACATAAACGGTTTTAAGAGTATTGTACAGCTTTTAGATGGTGCAAGCTTTTGTTGCACATTGTATAAAGCGGTGAATAAACTGCTAGTAGAAATATCACATCAAACTTGTTTCCTTTTTATTTCGTGGACGGAGATTTTGGACTGCCGATACCTCAGCGTGGATGGACTTTAATCTCTCTCTCTCTCTCTCTCTCCCCGGAACGCCACTTCTGTGCAAGTAATGGATTCAATGGACATTCCCGGGTCAGCATATATGAAGTGTTTCTTTCATTTGATATATCTACTGAGGCATTCTGATGAAGGAGTTGCTGAGAATAAACATCATTTCCTATGACTTTCCATGACTATAATAACTGAACTTCTGGGGCGAGGTAAAGATATCGCGCGGAAGGCCTTTCTCTGTAAAGCTTTTTACTTCTGTCAGGTAGAAACCTTCTGGTTTCGCCCGGAGATAGAGCGAGTTCATCATACCAGAAGACCAGTGCGACATCTAGGCTGCTACATTTTCTTTGGTCCTTTTCCTTTTCTTATGAACTCTTCAAAACTCTTTTTTGCCCCCCCTTTTTGTGGCTTTGTTTCCTTTTTTCACATCGATAATAAAATAAAATACTCGCCAACGTTTTAAAACTTGGAAATGATTGTTGTTTGGGAATTTTCGAAATCCGAAATTTCATGAACCCTAAAATTCAAAGCGCATGGTTCAAACGAGTATCAAACGAACTCTCTTACCAATTCTTGTTAATTTCTATGTTCTTTTGTTCTTTGGAAAAGTTTTTTCTATATATTATTTTAGTTTTAAAACGCTTTCTAAAAAAGACAAAGATTGTTCAAGCGTCACATGGGACGACGCATGAATGAAAGACAATGCCGGTCATCCCCCTCGAGGGATCGTAGAACTCTCCCCTAGAATTAGATCCGTTGATCCGTCGTAATTTCTTCCCTTATCAATCTAATCGCGAAAATCCCATAGAGGCGCGGCATCCGTGAGGGACCATTGACTCGCGATTAATTTAAGAGAAAAGTAATCGGTGAACTCCGCGAGACGGACTGTTGACACTGCGCTAGTTACATCCGTGTCGTCGCATATTAATCTCATGTATTTGCATGAAATATTAAGCAACGGGAATACATGATCCTTGCAAGTGAATTTGTATAAACGGAGGTCTCGTATTCTTCATGGACGAGTTTTCAAATTCATGTAAGATGATGCTTTGGCGTTAGCAGTCGAATGAGATTGTTAGCTAATTGCATGATTTCTGCCGGCAACAAAAAAGGTTAGCGAGTGTTTCTGATATTAATAAAGTGAGCAATCAAATTGAATTAGAGACCAATTCATACTCCGAACGGCCTAAAAGAATGTCAATTTAATCAATGCGGTTTCGACTAAGCTCTCGACCTATCTCCGAACACAGAAGTTTCCACTAAAAAAAAAACAAACGAGGACGAGGTCCACCATCGAGCTCCATTTGATTGTCTACAGCCAAAGAAGACATCACCACAATTACAAATTGCGAAAATTATTATTATTATCTCGCCTAGCGATACCCGACGTAAGAAATCGATCATAAATCATGATCCTCTATCTTGACTCATCCTTCACGGAGTCAGCTTTTGGCGTTCCAAAGCTAAGCCAATCCGATGAAACGAGCATGAAATCCCGAGTCGTTTCCATTTGCTTTGCCTTCTAATCTTCCCCTCTTCCAAGAAGTTGCGTTCACAACAACTCCTGCCGAGACTCCAATACACGCAAATCGATCACGACAACGCCCAACTCCTCCTAAATAACAATAATAATTGCTAGCAGCTCCTAGGTTTAACCTTCTTCAACGGTATTACCTTACACAAACCTTAAACCTCGCGAACTCAAAGCAACCTCCACCGCCACCTTCCGTTTCGTCTTCGTTTTCTCCGGGAGAAACATGTCGTACTTCAACTCTTTCCCTTCATCCAACTTCTTCTTCCTCGTCCTCCTCTTCACCTCCGCCGTCGCCCTCACCCTCTTCCTCTCCGACTCCTCCTCCGAGGCCGCCATCTCCTTCGTCAAGGTCACCGCCTCCACCGCCTACTTGATCTCCCGAGCCGTCTTCGGGGGCACCGCCTACTTCCTCGCGTTCGTGATCAATGGGCTGCGGGTCCCCGGCGAGGCCCTCCAGTCGGCGCTCCAGCAGCTCGCGGAGGCGATCCGGTCACTCGTGAATCAGTTGGTGGAGATCGCCATGGAGGCCGTGAGCTCGCTGGTGTCGGCCATCTGGGAGCTCGTGATGGAAGCCGCGGGGAAATTCGTCGAGCTCGCGACGGAAGGAGCGACCGCTCTCCTCGAGAAGTGCAAGGAAGGGATCGAGGGCTTGTGCAAGGTCGCGGCGGAGGCGGCGCGGATCATGGCGGAGGTGGTGACCGGGGTGGTGGCGGAGCTATGGAACAGCTACAAGGAAGCGGTCAAGTACGTCATGGAGAAAGGGACATGAAAATTCGGTGTCATTGACTTTGCTTTCTTTGTACACAAGAAATTAAATGTGGTAGGAATTTTTCTTTTTTTCTCTTCGAGTAGTTTTTATTTGAAGGTTTTTGGATGGTGAGTGAGGATCAATTATAGAGAAATTTAAACAATGATATGTAAAGTTTTCAGAAATGTAATCACCTGTACTGAATGAGGCTGCCATTTTGATTAAAAAATGTTTGCTGCCGGCGAATATGTTTGCAGAAAATAATTCCTTTTTTTTAATAATAGGGAGAAAAAGAATAAAAAAATAAATTAGACGATGGAAAGAGATGATGCCAACATATGAAAGAGACTGCATTGTTTAGATTTGAAATAATTTCGGATTAATTTGCACAATGAATGACTTGACCACCAAGTCTTTCTAGAGAAAATATTTCCTTAGGGAAGCTTCCTTCACGCGGTATTTGGATAAGGAATTTGATATTGTTCAAGACGGTGACGCTTCATCTTTTCTTCCTTATAGTTTCTCCTGAGCAACCTTCATCGAAAAGTCTTTGCTTGAATTTTCTCTCAATTTCGTATCGATGAAATCCCGGTTGACATAGAGTGGTTTAGATTCGGGGATAATGGTCCAAAAAGTTCTAAATTGATTATACGGTGGCCAATTCAGTTATGAACCTTTTAATTCTGCCAATTTAGTCATAAACATTTTCATGATTTGCCAATTTAGTCATAAACCTTTTAATTATGCTAATTTAGTCTTAAATCTTCCGGCCGGAAGGACTACATTGTCAAATAGTCAAAATGTTTAGGACTAAATTGGCAGATCGTCAAAAGATTTAAAACTAAATTAGCATAATTGAAAGGTTTATGACTGAATTGATAAATTGTCAAAAGATTTAAGACTAAATTGATACAATTGAAAGGTTAAGGATTAAATGGGCAATAGGTTTGAGACTTCCCTTTAGATTCATCCCCGGTTGTCCTTCCCGACCCTTTTGTTTAGCATAAATTAGACCGGACAAACTCTCCTTATTAGAATCGAACTCGAGATTTGGCTCTTTTTAAGGCATGATCTCAATTTTCAAGTTTCCCCGTCGCCGTATTAATCGCTAATGATCGAAAATGTGCCGATGTATTAAACTTTCATCTCTTCTTGCATGTCTAAACATTCTACCTCCGCAAAAGCAAGTTTAAAGGAAACGAAAGGCGTTTTACCTCGATCATCGATCTTAGATTCGACCTCGGACTCGTTTCCTTTCCCTCCTTTAATAAGAGGCCCGGGACTCGTTTCCACGGCTCTATATTTTCCTCAATCGCCGATCGCTCGGAAATTTTCCTCTCGACGATGCATTTAATTTGCGCGCTGTCGCAAGTTATGAACATCGTTCACATATAAATTTTTTAATAAAAACCAAAGGCAGTCGATATCCATATCGATGCTCAATAGAGAAAAGAAAGCGGTGTCACTTTCTGCTGATGGAAAAAATCACACCTCTATTTTTGTATTTGTCCATATGATGATTGTCAACAAATGCATGGTTTGTCAAATAAAACCTTCTTCAGGCAAACTTCCGCCTTGTACTTTCATATTCTTTTCCCTAGTCAAATCCATGTATTTTTTATTTTTCTAATTAAATACTCCCCGTTAGCATACGTTGTCTAATCAAGTACCTTCGGCGCTGCGTCCGGTTAAATCCAACCAACTTGGCCGTTGATGACCAACTCCTCACTATAACGTGGTCGACATTTTACCGACGCGGATGGTAACGTGGAAGATGAACCAAAATTATAAAAGGAAATCTTCTTCTGCCCACTCGTGCTCTCTCTCTCTCTCTCATTTTCCACATGTACTTGAGTTTTGATCTTGAAAAATATTGTTTCAAATATTGTTCGCACGACCCACCCATGGGTAGCTCAGTTGGTTAGGGCGTACTTGGGTTTGTGTGGCTAGGCGCACTGGTTCCATATTCGATTCCCCAGTTGAGCACTTGTGATTTAAGTGGGGGCGTGGCGGTGGGTTCTTTGTCTTAGTCTCCCCGAGGAATAGTCGAGTGCGCGTATGGTAGGCCGGACACCCGGTTACCAAAAATATATATATTGTTCGCACGCGCTCTGACGTTGTCGAACGGATGCGTCCAGCTTTGATTTAACCGGATTTGGTGTCGGGGGATTTGATTGGATAACTAGCGCAGGTAGAACGGGAACAGCTGATTGGGGCGTTAAGAATTTCCATCTCGGGATTTGGAAGTCACTTTGTTTGAACTTCACCAATCGCGTGTAAATTGTTCTGGGGTTAAGTCATCTGCACCATGGAATGCGTTGTTTTCACTGGCAAGAATAAAAAGAGTGAAATGATGAAATATACGAGCTAGACAAGTCATTCAAGTATATCTCATGGCTCATATCTTCTAGCTTAAGAAATGAAAGTGCATAAAGTCAATCTTTACCTCATCTCATCTTCTGCGTAGGGACGAAACTACTTGCGTATTTTCCCCCCTCTCTTTCTCTCTCTAGGACGATATTCACGGATTTCACCTTTGTACCTTCTACGTTTCACTTTTGATGACATTAGAAAAGGCGAATCTAATTCGGCATAATAATAATAATAATAATAATAATAATAATAATTCACGAATAAATTTTCATGATCGAGTAAAACTTCTTTATAACTAGTTTAGCTGTTCATCAAATTCTTCACGGCCGTAGCAACTTACAAACTGCAGCAGCTTATAACAATTTTTAGAAAGCGCTTTGAGATGACGCAGTTTTAAAAAATGTTTTGCCAAACACACAAATTACGGTATTGTTACGGTCGTTATCGTTAGCGAACTTACTCATGAGTGCGCCATTTGAGTGCCTGGCCTCAAGGCTCAACCTAGATCCAACCTGACTTGTCTGTTTAATCGGATCAAACTTGACTCAAAGAGCACACCCGACTTAAGAGAAATGGAAACCAAATTCATAACAATACGATTTCTTCTTATAATTAGACGGTGCGTTACATCTAGACATACATGATCGAATTCTACCATCACGACATGCCTCATCAGATTTAAGATTCGAATCTCCCATTGCGGATTTTGTGTACTCAAGCTGGGTCTATGCTATACGTACGTGTGTGTGTGGATTTCTCTTACAAAATTTGATGGGAAAATGACACAAATGCCTCTAAACTTTGGTCCAATGTCCAATATAATCCATAAACTTTTAATTTGTTCAATATAGTCCATAAACTTTAACTCAATATGCAATATTGTCCTTGAACTTTTAATTTGTTCGATGTGATCCTTGAACTTTTTGTACATGTTCAATTTAGTCCCTAGATTATATGAAAATGTTCAATGTTATCCATGATCTTGAATTAATATAAGGATGATATTGAATATTTTCGTATAGTTCATGGACCACATTGAACATATACAAAAAATCTTGGGATCATATTGAATAAATTTAAAATTTATGGGTAACATTGTATATTGGATGTATGGACCATTTGCGTCATTATCCAAAGGGTTAATATCACGAAAAACCCAAACCGGTACACCTGCGATAAATTTACTAAAAATTAATTTTTTTATCACAAAAAACCCAAGACCAAAATGCCTTTGACAAATTTACCCCCAACTAGTACATTTGTGACAAATTTACCCTCCATTAGTTTCCATTAAATTGGATTTATAACACGAAAAAATCACGAACTGATACATCTATGACAAACGGAGGTAAAACCCCAAACTGGTACATACGTCAGCTGTCATGCGTCATTCAACTCAGCAATTTAATGGTAAAACTTAACGAAAACTAACCGAATGTAAATTTATCACATGTGTATCGGTTTGAAATTTTTTGTGATAAAAAAATTAATTTCGGGTAAATTTATAACAACTGGTTTGGAGTTTATTAACTCTTTGTCCATGTTCCATTCGGCACGGTGGTGGTGTCGTTATTACAGGAGATGGCTTAAGTAGGAGGACAAGCGAAAGTCCACCCTCCTCCTCCTTCTCCTTCTCTGCTTGCTTGGCGGGAGGACTCCACCTGGCGAGGGCGCCATCTGCTCCATGCGCAGCATCCTTCATGCCAATGTAAAACCACCGCCGCCGTCTCTCTCTCTCTCTCTCTCTCTGTGTGAGTGAGTTCGTGTTGTGGAGGCTTGATTTGGAGCTCAATCTGCGAAGAACTCGATCATGGGTGGCGAAGTCGTCGACTCCGTCGTCTCCAGCGGCTCTCTATCCGGTAAGTTCGTCGCTCTCTCCTCCTCCTCATCGCATTACAATCGTCGCCCCCATCAGAAATTTCAAATGGGTCCCCCTTTGTTTCCCGGTGTCGTGATCGCTTCCCGTGAATCGTCGTGAATGATTTGATCTCTGCAGAAGGCGAAGTGTCACTGGACGAGGGCTTCGCTTCGCAAGTTCCCACTCATTTCAGGTGCGCGATTTTTTGTTTTTTTGTTTTTTGGGTTTCGCAGTGAAATTCTTTGACATTTAAAGTTTAGAATTTCAGATTTCCTTTGGCCTCGTTTGGTTCATCCTAATACTAGAATGCTCGTGTTTGGATAGAAAACTTATCTTAGAGTTGAATGTTGCAAAAAAAAAAAAAAAAAAGAAGAAGGAAAATTCAAGTGTTAGGATTCTCATTCCTTGAAAAATCCAATTCCGAACCAAACGAGGCATTAGCATCTAAAATGCTATGGTTAGAATTCAAAAGCTAAGTCAAGTGGGTTTTGTTTGATTATCAGTCAGACATAGAATGTGGGCTTTTTTGCTTGTCAGGGATGGTCTCAGCGGGAAAATTGGGAGTGGAACTATGAAGAAAGATGATGTTTATGGACTTGGGGATTTTGAGGAGGAGGATGGCTTGTTTTCTTCTGCTCTAGAATCTGAAGTTTACTTGCGAAGGAGGAGTAGCGCTTATAGGGAAGTGCTGGGGAGCTATGACGACTCGCGGGTTCATATCGAAAATCTGGGTCACGCGAAAAGCAAGATTCTGAGGTATTCAATTCTTAGAAGTGTCTTGCTTATTCCTTTACCATAAAAATTATGATCGTCTAATTTCAATGTTCTTTGTGAAAAAAAAATATGGTTCAGTGCTCATTTTCACTTCCATTTGATGGATATGGATGCCGCATGTCATCTAATGGGCCGGAAATTTCCAATTCCCTTGTGTGAAATTAGGGGACAATGTTAAATTAGCCGGCAATCACTTTAGCTTGTATTGTGCTCACCTGATTTTACGAACTTAACTTTGCAGCTACTACCCTGGAGCATGGATCGAGGAAGTAGGCGGTACAAAACCTTTTGACTATAATGTGCCAAAGATGACGTCCCTCCTCTTGATTGGTCCAAGAGGGTCTGGAAAAAGCAGTCTTGTCAATAGGATATCCAAGTTGCTCGATGATGATAAATTTGCCTCAGAAAGAGCCCAAGTGTCATGTAAATGTTACTTCATTGCTTTTGACATGTTAATCATAGTGTGCTTCATCCAACCAGTTTCTTCTTTTATTGTCTTTTACACCAGATAATTCTTCTGCGGGAGATGGGACATACTTCCTCCAGGAGTACATGATTCCAAGAGGTTCAACATCCTTCTGTCTCTACGATACCCGTAGTCTGTCTACTGACCCCTCCGAAGACAGTAAAATCATCAAGCAATGGATGACAAAAGGTGTTCGTCATGGTGAACTTGTCATCAGGTGTAAATATCTTACTTCAGTCTGCAGTTGGCTTTATGTATAGGCTTATCCATTTAAAACTATAATACTTCTGCATTTTACTTTCAGGGAATCAGATGATTCAAGTTTAAGGAGGAGAATGAGGTGCAAAGCTCGCGGGAGTTGCCGTCCATTCTCAGTTATAAGGAGGGTGAATTTTGTGATATTTGTCATTAACGGCCTAACAGTTCTCAAATCCATGGACAGTAACCATGATGGCCAATCTCAGTACATGCAGTTGATTGCGAATACCTATAATTGCCCATACTTGTCATTTAAAGGTACCAGAACATTTATTATTTTAAAATAACTGCTGTTGGAGGAAAGGAAGCTTTAATTGGCAAAAGAAGTGCCGGAAGACCTTTAGTGAGGGTAGAAGAGTGAGGCATCTTGCATTCAGACAGAGAGTTTATCCTTATTAGGTAAATCTTGCCAGATCGAAATGAAAAGGATGTAAGCAGAAATATGCTGATGCCAACAAATCTTGTGACATAGGTCACCCAATTGGTCTTCGAAATGACTTGAGATGATAATGTCAGTTTAAGAATGATTAAATGATATGGTCTCCTAATACAGATTACTGTTTCAAGGGACTACATTTTATGTGGGGACTAATTATGTCCTATGTAGTTGGTTAGGATGGGAGATTGTCAGGCCAGGATTATCAAAAGTGCATATTCTGAGAAATTTTCTGCAACTCTTTAGAGTCAAGCCAGGAGAATGGGAAGCATGTTATGTTAATCGAGAAATGATGTTGAAGGTCGTCTTTTTCAATTAAAAGATGGTGACGTTTATCATCGCGACAGAGAGATATCAACTATTCAGATTTGTTCTCCAAGTTTTGCCCGTGCTTTTCTTTTCTTCAGTTAGTCTTTACATGGCAGATAGCATTTGCTAACATTGCTTTCTTGGATGGTTATCACTGCTGGTCTCTGCATAAAGATGGTAAAAAAGAGCAGTCAATTGCCATCCTTACTGGTTGAGAATATTTAGTAAAAAGCATTAAGAGCATTATGTAACATTCTTATTTTGTATGCTTTTTCCTTTTTACAGATGACAAGCCTGTTGTAGTTTTCACACATGGCGATCTACTTTCAATCACTGAACGTGCTCGTTTTCGTGTACACCTGGGAGAGCTGTTTGGCATCCCTCCTGCAAAACAAATTTTTGATATTCCAGGTATTTTGGTTCAGCTTTCCAAATCTTAGCGATTCATTTGTGCAGTGGAAGTGAAATGTGACTCCTTGTTGCAGATAACTCCGATCTTTTAACGCAATTCACCATTGTTGACATGCTGCGTTATTGCCTTGAACATGCTGATAGAAATCTTCCTCGTAAGACTTGGATGTTGAAAAAGGTAAGGCTCTTTCAGCAATATGTATACCATCATTGACAATTGTCCTCCTCTGTGCAGATTATAGCCTGAGAGGTCTAATCTTTCCCTCTGAATATTATCCACTAGAAAAGTTTCTATTGGTAAAGTACACATGAGCATGTTAGTCTGACTCCAAATTAGCGCATTTGAAAAGATAGAGACAATAATGCATAAGTGGCGAGTGCCTGATATGTGCCTTGACTCTTCTTAGAATCTTTTCAAATTTGACAATATATTGTTTGATAGTAGAAAATAAGTTGTAATATGCTGAACGGAAGGGTCCAAAGGTAGCAGCAACTTAAGAAAGCTAAGATTGATAAAAACAGAAACTGCGGCAATGAGTAGAGACACATGGATGTACATATCCCTTGACCGCAGTAACTCAGATAGGTCTCTGAGTTCACTGTATAAGGAAAATTATTTAATGGGAACCTTTTTAGCTTCTGCTAAGTGGGTGTCTTCCCGTCCCCAACTTTTGTCTCTATGGCAGCCACATTATTGTTATGCAGAACAGCAGACCTTGCGTAATTGTAATGTCTAATGTCTTGTCACTGTCTTTGTATTTCACTCCCCTTATTCTCCTTCCAGTTGGACTGAGTGCCTTTGATGCGTGGATGTGAATGTATAGACATCATGCGCACATTTACATGTCTTCAGAAGTGAGCTGACTGTATGTTCTGCCAGGTGTGGAGAGTGCCAGTCTCAGCATGCTTTTATCTGGCCCTTATTGTCGGAATCGCTATCATCGCAGCCTGCATAAAAAGAACACACCATGTACATAAATCAAAGATTCACATCGATTGGCCTAAAATTCGGCATATGTGGCTGGAATGAGAAGATTGCTTTAATCGTTGCTGCATCGTCTGCCCCACTCCCACACCTGTGAATCTGAAGCAATCACCAAATGTTTATTCATATAAGACCAGTTGTTGTACATATGAGTACCTGCAGAAACTTTAATATGCGTGGTTATGAACAGTTCTTCGTAATGTATAAATTGTATTTATGTATCCAGGCTCCCAAACATGTTTCTTTGATGTAGAATTTTCATTGTTCATATCTGTGGTTGAATCACTTACGGAGATGAAATATCGTATTGCTTCTGATGTCATTATTCCTTTTGATTAGCTTTTACGTATTACTGTAGGCAGTTCTTGCCTCCACTAGTATATAAAAGTTTGTTCTCTATTAGCAGCTTCTTTGTCATTCTCATAAAAGAAGAGAGAAATTCCATCATTGTGCTTCGCCATGGTAAACTGTAGTTGTAACCTTTTCTCCAGAGACGCGCAAGCATCTCTCTGGAGTCGGCTTTTTTCTGTCGCAATAGATCTATTCAAGAGAAACTGAGATTCCTGATATGCATAGCTAGGATTAGGAGGATGGACATTTCTCTTCTTTTAGAATGTCATAACAAGGGTACTGAGAGAGCTGGATTTGCACAATTGCAAATTTCTTTTTTGGATATGTGAAATTATTAGACAAGATGAATTCGCTATACATCTCGATTAAGTTTGATTCGCTCACGTTTCAAGTCCTCGCTCCTGTCCCAGATGATCACCGAACCTGCTCAGCGTTTCATCTTTTGTAGGCCTCAACACTTATGGCAAAGCAAATAAACGCCTCTTTCTTCTATCATCTTGTCTGATACCCAAGAATCTGTCTATCATCTCATAGAGGACCGAGTGATGTCTCCAGTGGCTTTAGCTTTAAGGCGAAGTGATGCATCATGGTCAAGAACTGAGCAACCCTGCAGTGGACTCGAATAACGCTTGGAATAGGGTGTGCCGTCAACATGAAGAACATAAAACAAGGCGATGCGAACTAGAAATATTGCCTAAGGAAGACCTTTCATAGAAAATCAATAAATTCCACGATACAATTCTTGTGGGGAAAAGAATGGGTGAAGAGCAACCTGTCGAAATTTCTGATGTTTTCTTTCCATCTCGAATATCTCGACAATCTGCTTGTTACAAACTCGACCCACCGCCAAATCAAAAACTCGAATGAGACCCTCAAGTCCCCAAGTAGACCGGAAATGACTCACAAATTATTCCTGTAATCTGAAGACCACCTGGTGAAAGGTGGTAAACGAATAGAGAAAACTCGTATGAATCCTACAAGTTTAATTTTCACCGTCCATTTGCCTCTGAAATGCTGTCCAAAAATTTAGCTCTTGCAACTGAATCAGTTGAGAATCGGCCGAGCACGGCAATTGTAGCTGTACTACTTCCAAACTTCTCAATCCCTCTAGATATCATACAAGTGTGGTAAGCCTCCACAACTACCATCACATCTCCTCCCAGCAGCGCAGAAACCGTCTCGGCAATCTGCCTGGTGAGCCTTTCCTGTACCTGGAGCTTGAAGCCGTAAAAGTGTACTATTGACTGCAATAGAGATTTCACCGATGGGCTAAATCCTTCCCTATGGAAATATCCTATATGAACGCTGCCGTGAAAGGGAAGCAAATGGTGCTCGCACTGAGACCAGAATGGCAAGTTCAGCTCCGAAAAAATCTGCTCCATCTCACCATTAACTTCCCCATTGGATAATGAATCTACTTTATGAATGGTGCAGCCATTAAGCTTCGTCGGTAGATTGGTATTCTGGAAGTTCATGAGCCACTTTACAAAGCGACTGGGGGTTCCAACAAGCTCTTTCCTTGATGGGTCTTCACCTAACGACCGAATAATCGAAGTTACTGCAGTAACCATTCTGGAATTCATAGATCCAAAGCTGGAGCATGTTGTACAGCTTGAGGGAGATAGAGAGGGGCACCAAGATTTGCCAGTTGAGTCCCTTGTGCAGCTTTCATTGATATTAATGCCCCTGAATTTAAGAAGACTCAAGAAATCACCCCAAACTCCGGCCTTTTCATCTTTGAAAGCACCTGAACCTGAAGTAACCTGAATCTTCACCCAATCTTCGTGGTTAGAGGCGAGAGAGGCCGGAAATTGGATGTGTAAGCATTGGAGTACAACAGCAACACCTGCAGGCTTAATACCACTCTGCAAGGCTGAAGCTATTTCATCGGCTAGACGTTGTGGGTCTTGGAGTCTTTTAGCAAATACATCAGATACTCTCGAGAGCTTACTTAATCCTACAACCCGCTGTCCAGAAGGAACATAACCCACATGACACTTGACCTGGAATGGAAGAAGACAAGATTCGCAATATGAGAAAAGGTTCAGATCTCGAACGATCACAAGCCCACCAGCTCCTCCCGCATGACCAATTTCCTTGTCAAGACCAGCTTCAGGGAACAACGCACCTTGAACAATGTCCTTTACATATTGTCGATAACCTATGAAAGAAATTCTATAATTCAGATCTATAGAAAGAAGACACATTTACTTGTCTTGTACGATAAATCTACTCGCAAAGTGAAAAAAGCCATGTGTTTCCAAGAGTCGTAGTATTTAGACGAGCCAAACTATGAAAAAGCGAAAAGCCAAAGAAGAAGTGGATGCTATACTAGAGACACTGTGAATCATACAGGGAGGAGAAAACAAGATTTTTGCATGCAATTGACAAGGGGACAATCTTACTCGTTGCTTCAGAAAAATAAAGCACAACTCTTGTTCCTATACTGCTTGTGAAAACATGGAAGACGGCAATAGGTTTCCAGCAGGTTTTGATAGCACTAAATGAATCAACAACTACGAATATACACTTCACCAACTCACCAAGGAAGGTGGAAGAAGACTTATTAAATAAGAGAACTGAAACACAAAATACAAAACCATGAAAAATTTGCATAGTGCCTTCTTATGGCAAGCCAAATGCTAATAAATCCACAGAGATAGTATGCTTATGTATTGGAGTAAGCAGTTTCTAAGGAATCACGCAACATCTGCTGTCTCTGTACCCCTTCCAGGTCCCTAGATTCCGCTAGAAAATTTGGGAGGTGGGATTTACAGTAGGAATTTTGACCAAGTATAAAACCAGAGATTCCCTTCCAACTTCAGAGAGTTGCTATCAACGAAAAAATAGAGGAAGCAATAGACAGAGTATACTAAGGTGTTCAGGAGCAACAGAAGAATCATTATGGTTAAAACCACAAGTACATCAAATCGCCCATTCATCTATTCTGTGTTACAAGAAAAAATGATTAAGCTTAACCTCAAGGCGAGACCAAATAAAGTAGCATTGGAAGGAAAGGGAAATCCAACCAGACGATGCCAAAGTCTCTAATATTCAAAACCAGAAGCACCTAAGCTCCTAAGAGACAAACATGAGCGGTAGAGCATATTTTAGCATGTCCACATGTTCCAGTCTATCGTGCCAAACTCCAAGATCTGACCATATTTTAGTTCACACGATAAACATGTGAAAATCTTGCCCTGGTAGTCATTCCTTTGTGTACACATGTTGACAACCTAAGTTGGTGGAAGACGGCCTACCAACTACCCGTAGAAAATACAAAACGTCTCAACAAACTAAGAAGCTAAGTGTCGAGTGCCATTGACCAAAAGTCGGAAGCCAGAATTCCCAGCAAAATTACAAAAAATCCCAGCACATCCCACAACAAAAAAACACGAAGATACTTTTACCATGATTCAATGACGCGACATCACGGTAGGGAAACAAGAAACTGAAACTACTCGTGTTATGAGGAAACGATTGGCGAGTACCTCTAGTTCCTTCAAGAAAGGCTTTGGCAACACGAAGCGGGGTCTTCTTGAGACCTTCTCTGTTCACATCTTCACCCAAACCCTGCAACAGAACCTTAACAGCATCCTGGATAGCCAAAGTATCAGGCTCTTCCTCGCCACCTAGCTCAATACACCCTAGCTTGACTCCATGTTCCAGCTCCGCATCGAAATGCCCCTCATCCAAAGCTCCCATTGACAAGAACCACCAACACCCTCAATCACCAAACCGACCCAGATCCCTGATAAATGCAAATAAGTTAAAGTCCTCATTATAACGACACATAAAAGGGAAGAAAAGCAGAGACGCGTCATAGAGTAATCAAGTACCAAATCTTCCAGATTCAGACAAGCAGCAGATCAAGTTAATAGTGCCATCGACAGAAAAGGGTCATAGCACATGGCGTATATGACGCACAATAACAATATAAAAAGGCGAGATTTTTAAGCTTCGAGGAAGCAGCAGGACACAAAAGCGCAAAAGGGTCGTCATTATACTCGGAGAAGAGCAAGCACCTGCACTGGATCCGGTCCGAGGAAGCTGATGCGGGTTATATCATTACAATATGTGCAGAGGAAGAAGAAGAAGAAGGAAGAATGAATGGAGAAGAGGCTGGAGGGGATGACGGGAAGTAGAGAAACGTAGGGTTGGCGTTGAAAGAGTGCCTAGATCCTCACAATTCGTATTGTTTTTGGGGGAATGAGATTGAAGGGTCCTACCAAGCGGACGCTTTATTCCATTTTTTTCAAGGGCGGCGAGTCGGTACGATCTTGCTATCCCCCCTGCTTCGACTTCTGCGCATACAGATGCAACCAAAAAAACAAAACAATCTTGATAGAGAGAGAGAGAGATCTGTTCCACCATTTGACGCATCCAGTTTTATTTGATTTAGTACCCACGGTGTAAGAAAATTCTCATATGGAGAGCGACCATTGGATCCTCCGGAATATGCTCTATTCGGTACTGAATTTCATAAAAAAAAATATTCTGAGAGAGAGAAAAAAACAAAAAAAATTAACTTTGAGTAGATCGACAATGTATCGAGTGAATCTCGATTATTGACATCGAGGATATAGTATGAGACTCGCATGTTGTCATAATGTGTACACATACATCGAAGCAAGAAATTACTTGCAGAGGCGATGCTTGTGAATAAGGCGTAATCATGGGTTGTCATATTTCGTGATATTTAACATCATTATTCGGTTCTTGACGAACTTGTAACTTTCGAGAATTGACGTAATTGATCGGGACAAGCTCAATCTTCGAACTCCCACCAGCTGTGTGCGCGCCGTTTTGAATTAAGATCTCGCTCGCACGGGCTTAAACCCCAAACTTAGCCGGTTCATGCGGTTCGAAGCGTGTCTAATGGGCTTCCAGGCAGCCGAGTCTCTGCACTGCGCGTCCCGAGACCCCGTCTTTCATGACAAAAGAAAAAAACAAGAAAAGGGGAAAGAAAGGAAAGGTACATATAGCAAATGGCGTTGAGAGTGTCCAAATCCAAGTTGGGTCGGGTGAAGTGGGGGAGGGATGGGAAATGGTAAACGTTCCACCACCACCAACAACCCCTATGGTCAAAAGAACCAATATAAATAAAATGCCACCAACCCCGAACCCAACCAAACCCTACCAAAAGAGAGAAAGCTGTTAAGCGCCGCACGTATCGGATCTCAAGGGGAAGTGGGGTGGCGGGGGGCAAACACGAGAGGTCGCGGATTTTTGTACTTTCCCGAAGATCTGTGGAGGCCAATGAGCATGCGTCAACGTTGCCTTCTCCCCCTTTTCTTTTCTTCTCTTTGGTACTATAAAGTTTTTGCCATTCACCGATTTCTACATGCCGCCTCCTCCTTGGGTAATTTTTCCACGGTACAATACGTCATGCGGGAAAAAAGTGCCACGACCATCTGTCAAACATGGTTGTTTCGACTGGTCAAAACATCTTTCATCAAAAGTAGTCGTAGTTCGATTTTTTTTAAATTAAAGAAGATGGGTTTCGTGACGATTCGAAATAGGATATATAAGTGGAGCACAAGAAAATCGATAAATACACTCCAATGAAATTTAATCGACGCCAAAGTACGTGACACTTCGCCGAAATTTAATTGATGGCAAAGCGAGATAACGACAAGATAGACAACGAGATATTTGAGAACTAAAGCTTCACCTGCGATACAGGAATTAAGAATAATGGAAAGATAACAAATCCGAGAACTAAAACTTATCGAATTGGTCAAATCAAGTCCTTCCGTTGATTGCGATTTTCGAAACTTTTAGGACTCGAATGCGCTTTCGTGACAGTTTTAGGACTTCATTGCACTTTTTGAAAGTTTTAAGGCTTGATTACACTTTTTGAAAGTTTTAGCATTCAATTATACTTCCGTGATAAGTTTCATGTGCACTTTCCTAAAAATATTACAAATGTTCCGTAATATCTTAATAAACGGGGTTGCGAAATTAATCAATCGCATAATATACTATTATACCGCAGAAAATCTCCCTTCCACGATGCGTTCTCATAAAAGACGGGTACTAATCAATAAACCCTAAAATATTCTCGCCACATCACTTAATTATTTATTTTATAAATCGGCTTTGGTCTGTATATATCACTGCTTCATAGACAAAGAAAAGAGAAAAAAAAAAAAGCTATAATAAAGACGGAAGTAAAATCCCTAGAAACCTTAGAGGATGGATCTACGTGGATGCGTGCAAGCATGCAAAAAATAACCCATCAACCTCACAACAACTTTTGTTTTTTCTCGAAAAGCTCACAACAACTTAGTCAATCAGATATTAGGTGAATTTGCATTAGACTTGATCAATAAGCGGGCAAAGCCTAGTATCGGATCTAAAAATCATTATCGAGATTCACCCATAATCAAAAAACTATCGAATCTCGTATGTAAAAATTGACTGGGGCCGGTCCAAAAAGAGAATTGCTTACTTTGATTCGACCGTCCTGCCATCGAGCCTCCGAGCCACGATCGCCCCCCTTACTCTTTTACATAGACAAGGTGTGCCAAGAGATTCAAGAACCCAATAGCTATTAGAAACACATAAGAACGTCGCCATGTCCCCAAAAAGTCAAGAAAACCAACGAATCGAATCGGCCAAAAAGTTTTTGGGTTTAATCCAACGGTCGTGTTTTTGTGGAGGTTAAGGTAAGGTGGGTTTGAATTTTGGTTCGGCTTATGTCACAAATGGATGCAAAAGTCCAAATGAATCTTAGTCAAGATGATTTCTTAATCCCTTGCCGTTAATTCCTGTAATTAATATGAAGATCAATCTGACTGATTAAGCAACATCTATAATAGCCCTTTGGATCTTGGTTTATAATGTATTAAATAACGTAAGAAAGATTTTTTTTTCCAGTGCTGTATGTTTAGGTCACAAAATCAAAATTTCAGGAGAAAATTACACAAATGATCACTGAACTTTGGTCCCATGTGCAATGTAGTCCCTAAATTTTTAATTTATTCAATGTGGTTCCAGAACTTTAGTCCAATGTGCAATATGGTCCATGAATCTTTAATTTGTTCAATGTAGTCCATGAACTTTTGGTACATGTTCAATTTAGTCGTTGAATTATATGAAAATAGTCAATATTATCCGGGATCTTGAATTAATGAAAGGTTTACGTTGAACATTTTCAAATAGTTCTGGGAGTACATTGAACATATACCAAAAATTCAAGGATCGCATTGAACATATTAAAAGTTCATAGAGCACATTGAACATTAGGCTAAAGTTCAGGAATCACATTGAACAAATTAAAAATTTATGGATGACATTATATATTGAGCTAAAGTTCAAGGATCATTTGTACCTTTATCTCGAATATCATCTATAAGAAGAATGTAATTTCGTTTTTCGAAAGACAAATGAAAAGTACAACCCATGGAGACCACCGAGAGCTCGTCGAGGGTGACAAGCTCCGCCCCACCATGCTCTCACCACCACCACCTGTTGCTGTGTCCTCACCACCACCACCTCTACCATCACCACCACCATCACCACCACCGTCACGGCAACAGCTGTAACTTTCGCTGCCATGCGCACCCTGCTTCTTGCATCTCTCCTCCTCCTCCTCCGCCGCCTCCTCCTCTTCCCAACGCCGCTCCTCAGACCGGCGCAGAAGCTGCGCCTTATGTTGCTTTGCCGGCGGAGCTCAATCCCCTAGAGGTTGACTCTTCCCGTCAGTAAGTTCCTTCTGCTTGTTAGCACTACCATTTCTTGATCTTTAGAGAGGCTTCGTTGCCATTCATGTGCTCTGGAATCGGCTGCCAACTGAATTCGACGGGATATCCTACAAATGGGATGATTTTGGTTAAGTCCCAGCTCCATTAAGTTCTGCTCTTTCGTCGTTGCTAGTTGTTTAGCCTTCATGCAGGGAAGGTGTTTGTTGCATTGCGACAAAGAGCAAACTGTCCTTCAAGCTTGATCTTTTGCTCTCTCTTTGTCTCGTGCTGTTCCTTTGGGAAAAGCATGAAAAAACTAATGAACTATCATTTTGAAGAGAAGTCCACTCAAGACTTGAAGTGGATAATCTATCTTAGAATACGTTGACTCCCTCCATTTCACGTTTTCATTGCTTTTTGTTGATTTCCAGGATGTTAGAGCAGCAGGATTATGAGCAGCAAGAGGAGGTTTTTGACACCGATGAAGAGCCTGTTTTTGTTTTGACCGATGAATGGAGGGAGTTCTTCGCGAGGTCCGAAGCAAAGAGGAAGTTAGGTAGTGATTAGTCGCATTTGTAGTCTTCTGTTTCTTCATCTCGATCGTGTTCGTGTTCGGGTTATTCACCGTCTCACCGTGGATTTTTGCGTGTGCAATGTCTTTGTGCAGCCAAGAGGGAGGCTAAGAAGGAAGCCAAGAAGTGAATGGACTCCTGTTTCGATATTCACGATCTCCACTTTCCTGGTGGAACTTGTAACTGAGTGACAATCCACCAGCCTGAAAAATATTATCCTGGAGCTACCGAGGAATTAAGATGATTGGGGTCTTGTGTTTGTCGGGCACGTTAGGTTTTCATGTACTCTGAAACCTTAAGATTTCATAATGAAAAGACAGATACCAGAGAACAAAACCTTACCATTATGTGCTTTGGAGAACTTATCGGCACGGAAGCTGCATCTGGGTTTTGGAGGATAATGCTTTGGTTGTCATTTCTCCATTGAGAAAATTAATTCCAAGATTTCGATGCCTCGTATTAGCGTTGCAGATTCAGTTCATACATTAGCACTGACAAGGGAAGCGAGAAATTGAGAAAACTGACCAATCAATTACCCTTATTCTATAGGCAGAATTGCACTTTTGGACGCCAATGGACAATGTAACCATAGGTGCTTTCTTCTGATTCAGAATTGCAACCTTTACATCATGGGAAGAGTGATGAGCTTGCAGATATTCAAAAGTTTCTCTACAGGTCTCTTCAAGTGACTGTGTTGGCACAACAACAGCAATTACAAATATCAGTTCTTCTAGATGCGCTCAAACTTAAGATACCAAGTTTCTCAAACAACAGATAGACCCTGACAAATATTGCAATCTGGGGGTCTTGCATTCTCCACTTGCTGCTGAGCTCTTAACACCATCATCGAGTCCATAATCAGGTCTAGGAGCTCATGATTTTAGAAAGTCCCTCATGACATTATCCATTGCAATCTCGAGCACTAGATCAGAAGGCTTACGGTCTTCAGGTTCCTACTTTGACATAGCCCCCTTGCCAATGTCCACCTTTAAGGTGAAAATACACGAACAGCCAAACAGAAATCAGATCATTTGGACAAGTTAAATTATCACATGCTCCGACCAAAAAAAAATTATCACATGGAGCTCTCGGCAAGCGACAGTCATTGAAGCTATAATGAATTGCAGACAAGGCTACATCCAACTCTCAAGATATACCATCTCTTTATATCATCTTCCACAATATCAGGTCTCTAGACAATAGACGAACAACTAAACAACAGATAAATGGGTTTGACTGTCTTATTTTCTTAGACTCTACTTATAAACTGCCCTTCAAACGAAAAATTGAGATACAGATGTTCCCGCCTGACTCAATTTATTAATGAAAAGGAGTCCAATAAGAATTTTTAATAATGGCAGATGCTTTTACTTCTTTCAAGAGAGATATTACCAAACTATGTCAGAAACTACTTTTCAGTGTGTCATACAGTAAAGCGGTCTAAGAGAACTTTCGGTTGTGGCGTTGGCAGAAAAAAAATTAAAAGAACTTCCAGAGGCGGCAAATGTCTTAGAACATTAAAGAGAGGCATCATTGACCACTTTTTTATTACCTACATAACCAAACTTTAATAGTCAGAAAAGAGAAGGGAACTTTCAACGGTGTCAAATATTTCACTTCATTCGAGGGAGCCATCACCAAACTATTTTGAGCGTCGTATATGACCAATAACCAAACTTCAATCATATCATACACAACATTATCTCTCATGGCAAGCGTAAGACTCACCTAACATTTATGGTTTCAAAGCCAACTTGCTGAAAGCAGCTTGTACTCTCTCTTCTGTGGTCATTCTATGGTTCTCATAGAAATCCAATATCTCCACCGCTATATTCTTCACCTGTCCATGAACACATCAGTTTGGTCTGTTAAAAAGTTAAAGAAACATTATACAAGAAATGACAAAATGGCAAACATGAGCCTTGCAAATTTGTCAGACTTAATCTCTGGGAAAAAAGATGTTAAAAGTACACCAATGGCATGGCTAGATATGCATTGAGTAGTTGATGCAGGCATTAAAGGTTCTGAGCCTTTTGACCATGCAACTTTAAGGGAGATTAGGAATACACCCATATCATTTATCAATTCATAGCAGCTAGATGGAAATACATGTAAACAGACACAAAAATTCATGCCACTAAGATTTTTAGATAGATGCATCAGGGGAATGCTTTCACACCAAATTCTTCTTTCACATCTTTCCTAGAAACAATTTCAACTTATGAGTATCATGTTAGTCTAGTTACTCTTGAGTGAAATCTTGAGCGAAAGGGTTACAACGATGCAAAACTCCACCTTTGCATGACCAAGAGGAAATCCTTCACAAAGTTGAGCTCGTGCACACTAGAGTGATGACTTTGAAACCATTCAGTGGCCACTCACTGTCTATAATCTCTTACGGTACACCTATTCTCTGATTCATAAAGACCTATAGCAAGAAAAAAGTGGCTAAGCAGGGAAAGTAAAATTTTATGTCCCATGGAAGCTTGAACTGAATTAAAACTTCATTGAATCAAGTTGCCAGAATTCAATGACCAATTATAAATTCTTGAAATCTTGAAGATGAGGACTTATTGTCAAGTGATACAATCAACCGGAAAGGGCATTTGTACCAACAACCAAATCCAAAACCTAAGAAGAACAAGCCATATATCTGATTCATAAAGACCTATAGCAAGAAAAAAGTGGCTAAGCAGGGACAGTAAAGTTTTATGTCCCTTGGAAGCTTGAACTGCAATAAAACTTCACTGAATCAAGTTGCCAGAATTCAATGACCAATTATAAATTCTTGAAATCTTGAAGATGAGGACTTTTTGTCAAGTGATGCAATCAACGGGAAAGGGCATTTGCACCAACAACCAAATCCAAAACCTAAGAACAAGCCATATGTTTTCCTCTTAATTGCTGATAAACAAAATTGGGATTGAAAGGTCCAATAACCTTATTGACCAAGAGAAAATAGAGAAAGAACAGGAACTACAAGAGAGTCATGTAAAGACTAACCATTATTATATAAGCATTCTGGACATCGGGATTTGACAAGTTCCTATGGAAGCCTAAGTAAAGCTTTCTTTATTTGTAAGATATTCTTATAGATGGAAACATGCTTAAATTTTACCAGGCAATCTAAGGATTGAACAACTCAAAAATTTTCCCTTGGAAATTATTTACATATCTTCTTAAAGAGCCATAAAATTAGAGTATGAAGAAAAACCAAGATAATCTTCTTTAGCCTTATGCAGTGGGTACAATTATGACCAAGGAGAAAAACTTAAGAGATTTGAACTTACGACATTCATGTCAACGCGAAGCTCTTCAAACCATGAGGTAGTGTCCCTGTCTTTGTATACACTTGCAATGTATATGCAAGCCAATGCAATCAAGTGAGGAGGATGCACGAGAATGAGGTCCATCTTGTACGTATCATTTACAAGTCCCCTGCGTATCAATTTGGCATATCTAATCATTCTTCACTATGAAACAAACTGAAAGTGTGACCATGGCATCAAATGACCAACAGTACAAGCAAAAGTTCATTTGCTCAATACTTTTTTTACAAGCGAAAATTATAATGCTATATCCGCGTCGCAAGTATTAGACCGAGCACCATATAAATGAGGGCAACCTATTGAGAAGTCACTGAACTAATTAGCTTTCTCTGGACATATGGAATCCTGAAAAGTACGGGGCCTTGCTATGTAAACTTTTCGCGGAGGCTCATGGTTGCATTTGTTTACGCTTATTTGTTCCGATGACCAATTATATTTTCTTGAATATCATGTGGATGTTTTATCTTTTGAGCACATTAGAAGATCTCCATAATATCTTAGCTATCTGGGTGCACAGAAAAGCCAGCTACATGGTCAAGGGAGCCCAGATGTGAGCAGTTAACGAAGATGCTGCACTGGATATGAATAGGATAATATGATCCTCAGATATCCCGAAGTCATGTGACCTCAAGCACCTCATCTCAATAGAATAAAAATCCAGATCAAAGAATAAATCTGATCCACAAATATCTAAAGTTGCAGGGTAATGGCCTGCGGCTATTTTACTTCAAGAAATCACGCACCAAAAGTTGAAGAAGCCTATGCATCTGATTGTTCCATTACTATTTTGAGAACAGCTTATAAGCAGTGTCTACAGAAAATTTAGCTTCGTTTGTTTCGCGGAAAATGAATGATTTGGAGAACATTTTCCTAAAAATAATCGCTTATATCTCTTACAAAATGAATGAACGAAAAATATAATCATTGTCCACAAAAATATTTGGACATAAATTATTGGCGATAATGAAATTATTTTCTATTGACTAATTATTTTAAGTTTTACCAAGTAAACTGGGTCATATCATCCATGCCCGCGTCCTGAAGCAAGCTGCCAAAAATGAATATGAGAGAGAGAATTCAGATTGTAAGTCCTCAAAAAAAATTAGACAGAGTAGCAACTTATAAGTACTTAATTTGGGTCTGATCATGCACGGAGAACATACATGAACTCTAGTTCTTGGCATAAAACATGGTTGTGACCAGTAAACCAAAAATATTAGGAGACGCAAAAAATAGTCAAGAGTCTTTCCTCTGATAGACTTCATCATACCCGTTCCCCATATCACTGATTGGGATACCAATTCTCATAAGTATTATCAACTTCGAAAGGCAGTGCAGAGGCAAAAGAACCATAGCGAAGATGATGAAACGAAGTACTTACTGCGTCAAAGAACGGTAAGGATGGAATACAACCAAATAATAGTTGAGAGCTTCCAATATCTTCATTTCCATTTCAAGTATATCCTTCATCTCGTACCGGTATTTCTCATCAGAATCTGGATAGCATAAGTAAAGGACTCTTAGCAGTTCTCACATTTGAGCTATGGTTGCTTCTTCCATCTTCTTGTTGGAAATTTGACAACCACAAAACCTGATTGAGTACTACATCCTTACATATTTTTCTGATGTAGAATACAAGCGCTTTGGCCTGCACAGTGCTTTCTTCTGCTTTTGCTGCCAAGTACAGGCAGGCTGGAGCCACTAGGCGTGGATCATACTCTGACATACTCTTTCTGCAATTGAAAAGGCAAAACGGTGACCTAACGAAGTCATTGTGATCTCAAACTTCAAAAAGACAACAAGCAAAACTGGCAGCCAGCTCATATGATAAGACAACATAGAAGAAAAGCTTCTGAGTTCATATAAATACAAATGGAACAAGTCGAGTCCCACACAGTGAAAGATAACAATACATGCCTTCTGAAAGAGGGATAAAGTGTATTCAAAACATAGTTGAGTATATCCAGGCATGAGTCGTCGACCTCCAACTCCATATAATTTGCATTCATCATACAATACTCAAAAAGCATAAATTTTCACAAGTAAAGTTGTCCAATATAATACTTCTGTATTAAGTTTACCATTATAAGAAGAGGGAGTTATAAAATACTAAGCAGTTAAAATCTTTCACAATCGATATTTGTTTCCATATGATTTCAGATCTCTATGAAAAAACCAATGAATTTTTTTTCTGATAAATGCTCTAATATGAATGTTCCACTAGGTAGTAGGTAGAACCATAATCTTCCAGGCATTGCTACAATGCCTGACTGGTTCCCCCTAAACGGCAAAGTCTCTAACTCCTGACCTTGAAAAATGCTACATGGAATCCCTAAATATAGGGTAAAACAACCTCTAAGTGAGGAAAAGAAAAGGACAAAGCATCAACTCAGTTACACCTTCTCTTGCAACCGAAAGAGGGATGACACGATCAATTTCTCCCTTCAAAATAGCAGTAGAAAGAATGACAAGCACATCAAGCAAGACAGTTCAAATAAGTAAACTGAAAACAGAAAAAAAAAGGATAGATGGACAAGGGACTGGTCTTGTTTCTGGTTTTTACCACAAGCTCAAATGTAGGGCAATGCGTCAAATGAAAAAGGAAAACTAAACTATTATCATCAGAGATTTGATATAAAACAGGAACTAAGCAAGCCCAAGTGGAACAAGCGTAAATTGTGACAAGATGAACAGATTAATGTAGAAATCTTATCTTGTACAACCATACTAGCAAATTACCGATGCACCTTCTTGATAAAATCTACAAAATCTTTTGTTGGTCAACATTTGCAACACAATGTAGACACTGTCTGCATCATTATAGTTGCAATATATAGCCACTTACCTGGTATAAACGCGTCTCATATATGTAACTGCAGTGGCTACAACCCTGGCAAATAAACAGTTCATCAGAATTGTACAGTATTTTCAAAAAAGGGATTGCCTGCAGCACTGACCTTACAATCAATACTCCAATGTTTAAAGTAATAAGCTCTTTCTGTAAGGTTTTGATAACTTTAAGCATTATAAAGAGAACGAGTATATATCACACCTTTGCCTGACTTTGACACTCTGAGCCAGTCTACATATATCTGAAAAAAGAAACAGGACCAACGTGTTTAAAAAAAATACCCATATAACATGCAACAACGATGAACGACCTTTCTGTCAAATAGGTAAGAGCAAACAGGAGCCACAAGTCAACTATTCATAGCTTTGCACGAAAGTCCATTGCTGCATTAGTTGCCCCAGAAAAGCAAAGAAAATATGAAAAAAAAACGACTTTCAATTGCATTAAGATATCGTGCAACCTCTGCCAGCAAGACAAAATTTCGACTGGAATGCAAAACTTTTTTCCCCAACACATGAGCAATGAGCAAAGTAGCATATTTGGTGTTTCAAAGTACATGTTCAGATAAAAGAAATACGACATGCAAAATTCTCCTTCACGCGTGCCTTGCCGCAAGTCCAGTGATTTTAGCCAGCATCAACAATTCCCGGGCTCGAGACGCGTCGGGAAGTAACGCCGAACATAATAGCGATCAACAAATCATCTGCTTTATACCACAGCCAAATGTTATGCACTCTTTATGGGAAGCCCAAGAACATAAAAGAGAGTATATGTTCTATCCACCCACGGCACAGTCGTGATTACTGAACGAGCCGTTCCTTAGCCTCATATTTACAAGGTTCCAAGGTTCCCGTCACATCATCAGACCAAAGATTCATCACTGTTCTTCACTTTTTCACATACAAAATTCCCCTTTCAACAGATAAATCGAGCAGTGATCCGTAATCGCGAGTTCACGCTCGGCGGCGACGACGGCCCCCGATAGACGTTTCCCATCGCAAAATCAAGAACCCCAGGCCACGAATTCAACACGACATCAAGATCAAAAGCGCGGCGGTAGCGGGGAAGGGACGAAAGGGGGAAAAGGGGGGGTGCGTACAATTGGACATGTGCATCTTGATGAGCTTAAAATCTTCGACGGTGACGCCCCTGTCTCTGTCCGGCGGGTGCACCACGTCCACCTCCTCCGGGTCCAGAAGTTGCTTGCTGCAGCAGAGCCGAAACGAAAGAGAATCAAGAAAAAAGCGACAAAGATCAGGAAGCGGGCAACAGAGAAGATGCGCGCGCAACGCTGATCCGAGCAGGAGAACGCAGGGGGGATTCCCCGGAGACTCACTAGTGAGTGGAAGTCCAGAAATTGGCAGCCATTGCTGACCCGGGATCGAAGGAGCTTGGCGAGCAGGATTCGATGAGGTAGAAGAAGAAGAAGAAGAAGATCTCTCTCTTCTCTTCGGGTTCGGGTTCGGGTTCGGGCCGGGGACCCGAAACGCGTTGATGGGCCTCGGAGAAAAGCGTTGCGTGGCGTTTTTCCTTAGCCATATGGCCCAATGCCAGTTTCATTTGTTTTCTTTGAATATGATTTACCTAACTTTTAATATATTACATTGAGTTTAGTCTAACATATAGTATTCCCCAAAAAAATACCTCGAATACGGTTTTCGCATAAACGTATCTTGTGATGTGCTTTCTACGTTAGGAATTCCGACATGGATAGGCAGGGAACTAGTGGAAGTACAATGCATGACGCAAGGGATTCTCTTGGCCGATATCCAAGGATCAATAAGTTCATCATAAAATCGACTATTTTCTATTCTTCTCACCTTTGGCGTACAAACAGAGATCTAAAAAAAATCGATGGATGAAGAAGTCATTTTCATTTCGATGACGAAACTGAACGAAATGTGTAGGAATCAGATATAAGGAAAAAATTAAAACAGTCAAATATATAGATGTACATTATAATCATATCAAATATGGCAAGTCGCAATTTCAAATAACGTTTACCCTGTGTTTTGTTTTTTGGTCGAATCACATTTACCCTTTGTAGCTGGTCTTGGTTATAGTGAACTCGTGTTATCTGATTAAGAAAAAACTTTTCTTCGAAAGAAAGAAGACGGAGATGGTTCGGTTGCGTAAACGAAAAGATACTCCCATGAGTCCAAAAGTCAAACGGACGACAAAACCAATCCACAAAGCTAAGTGATTCCCACGCAATTACTTGCCGCCGTACCCTCCATTTCGCCGTCCCTTTTTGACTCTCGATGGTAAACTCGTTTAGCAATCATCGTTGATCAATCATTATTATATGTTAAAAACTGTATACCTCGCTCATCGATAATCATCACGTCATCGATAAGTAATTTTTTTGTTATTTGGACGTTGCCGATAACCAAATCGAACTTAACGTCTGAGTTGTTTATTTTCTCAAATCGGCATCATTTCTTTTTGGTGTAAACACTATAGAGCCACGTCCATTTTGTAATCATTAGCTCCATTTTCTTCCAAGCGAAAAAGAGAAGGGAAGGGAAAGGAAAGGAAAGGACGAAATATATCACATCGACCATTCAAATGAATTCGATACATAGTCCAACTCCATTCGTTCACGCACACCTTTCTCTCTCTCTCTCTGTAAATCACCATGCTCTTCCTCACTCATCTCCTAGCAGTTCTAGGGGTTCCGTTGCTCCTACTAATCCTATGGAGGGCAACATCGTCTCCGAGCAAACCCAGAGGTACCACCTTGCCCCCGGAGCTACCGGGCGCATGGCCGATCATAGGCCACCTCCACTTGCTCCGTGGCGAGACCACACTGGCCAGGACCCTGGCCGCCATGGCCGATGCGCAAGGCCCGATGTTCCGGATCCGACTCGGAGTCCACCCGACGATCGTCATAAGCAGCCGCGAGGTGGTCCGGGAGTGCTTCACCGCCCACGACAAGAACCTCGCTTCTCGTGTCAAATCCAAGGCGGGAATCCACTTGGGCTGCGGGAACGCCGCTTTCGCCTTTGCGGAATACGGGGACTTTTGGCGCGAGATGAGGAAGATCACCATGCTCGAGCTCCTAAGCACTCGAAGGTAGGACTATAGGATTATGGTCCGAATTCAGTTTGCTTTCGGCTTTGATTTGCATATCAAGCTTGACCCTCTGGTACTCTACGCATCGACACCGCACCCCGACCGTAGTGTTCACTCATCATCAAGTGATGAAGGCTCTCTCTGTCTCTTTTGCAGGCTTGACAACCTAAAGCACGTTCAAGCATCAGAAATTGACACCTTCATCAAGGACCTGCGCACTCTTTGCAGGACCAACACTGACAATGTCCAAAATGGGTCCTCCAAAGTGGTGGTCATAAGCCAATTGCTCGAGCTCCTGACCTTGAACATCATCATCAGAATGATCGCAAGCAAGAGATACTTCGGATTATCGTCAGCATCAACTGGGTCCTCCACCGACGATGATGAGGCAAGTCACCTCAGGAAAGTGATCAAGGACATGATGTACATTTCTGGGTTCCCTGCAATTTCAGACCTGTTGCCCTTCGCGGGATGGACTGACTGTGTGGGGACTGTGAAGACCATGAAGAGAGTGGCGAGAGAATTGGATGAGATCATTGGGAAATGGGTTGAAGAACACAAGCTCAAGAGAGGTGATGATCAGAGAGGAGGTGCGATGGATGTGCAGGAGGATTTCATAGACGTGATGCTCTCTGTGATTGGGGAGGAAGGTTTTGCCTCGTTTGGTTACTCTCCTGAGACACTCGTCAAGGCAACAGTAATGGTATGACTCTTGTGATTAAGCTCACTCCATTATTAGCATATAGTTTGCTTATCCAAATCCTGTTCTCTATGGGCTTCTGGGCTGCTTCTTGACAAAGTTTTCCGAATGACCCAGAAAATGGTGATAGGCTCCACTCAGTTGTTTTGGGTTTATTGTTTTCAAAGAATGATCCAAAAGAAGATTAGAATTGGACCGGATCTAGCTCACCTTAATTCAAACTCTCCAATAGATTTTTCTTCTTCTTTTCATGATGTATGGTCAAAATTATATCTTGCAACTCAAGCTGCAACCACTGTATTTACTGATACATATACTTGGTCCTCTGTAATTTTTCATTTGGCTGATTTACATGCTGAAGAACATTATAGTGGCTGCATCGGACACAACGTCTCTGAACTTGACATGGGTTCTGTCTCTATTGCTCAACAACAAACATGTCATGGAGAGAGCTCAAGAAGAGATAGACCTCAAAGTGGGCAAGGGCAAATGGGTACAAGACTCCGACATCGAGAACTTGCCTTACCTCCAAGCCATCGTCAAGGAAACCCTACGCCTATATCCACCAGGTACCAATATTAACATGTTAGAGTTACCGTGTGATTTGAAGCACCAAGTATCACGTATAGACGTCCCGCGATATGATGTGTGTTTGGAGATGTACGAATATGAAGTACTAAAATGAATTAGCAACGATGAGTGAGATAACGTGTATAAAATTTGAATCGCTATTTCTTGCACCAGGTCCCGTGTTAGTCCCACACGAAGCGAGAGCGGACTGCACCATAAACGGCTATCTCATTCCGAAAGGTACTTGGATATTCGTCAACGCGTGGAAGCTACACAGAGACCCTCGAGTTTGGTCCGATCCAGAAAAATTCTCACCCGAAAGGTTCTTGACGAGCCATTCAGGTACGAAGATCTTACCATTAAACCTCTACATGTGGAACTCATAAGAACAATGTCGGGCACAAAGAATTGTTTAAAAGTAGTTCATAAAGCAAGGCTCCCGATGAATCTCAATTCAGTCAAAAAAAAATTGACCAACAAAACATGTTAATTGGATTTATTTCAGTTTTTCCCTCAAAGGTGTGGATGCTTCGGGACAGCATTTTGAGTTCATTCCATTCGGGTCGGGTAGAAGATCATGCCCGGGAGCTTCGTTCGCATTGCGAGTGACCCACTTGACACTGGCTCGTCTTCTTCAGGCATTCGACTTGGCAACACCATCGGACGAACCGGTGGACATGACCGAAGGCTTAGGGGTCAACCTGCCCAAGGCCACTCCTCTCGAAGTTGTTCTGACCCCAAGGTTGCCTTCCAAGCTCTACGAGCAATTGATGCAAAATTAGAATTTATTTCCGTTAGGAAGAGAAAAAGGGTTTATGGATATGAGTAATTTCTCTACATAACATATTTACCGTGAAGATTTATTGTATGGATTAGACCATATATGGCACGGTTATGTTGCTATCGTTATCGTTGGGATGTACCATACTTCATTTTATGGTTAACATGGACCGATCAAAGTCAATGGACGATAAAGTTTGCTAATCGAGAATAAAATTTTACTGTACTGCTTTGGGCCTGGGAATCGAAGTGAATGAGCTCGGCTGCTTCTCCTCCACATGAAGTTTATTATTTCTCAAAGTCTTCAATTATGTTAGAATGTCTAACCCAAAAATTCAAACCGATTTAACGTCAAAGAGAGAGGATCAACAAATCGACAAGATGAAGGCGTGGAAAACAGAGAGGATGCATAACGCGATTGAACAGGATCAGGGATTCCGGAGACTCACTAATGAGTGGAAGTCCGGAAATTGGCAGCCATTGGTGACACCGAATTGAAGGAGCTCAGCCGAGCTGCGAAGAAGAAGAAGTCCTCTCTCTCTCTCTCTTTTGTTCGGGTTCGGGCCAAGGACCCGAAATGCGAGAATAGAAACGAATGTGGACATTGCGTTTTCGTTAGCCATAGTCCAATGCCATGTCCACATACGTTTTCGTTAGCCATAGTCCAATGCCAATTTCTTTTATTTTATGGAAATGATTTACCTAATTTTGATACATTTCATTAGTTTAGTTCACCATAAAGTAATCGAAAAAATATCCCAAATATGGATTTTCATAACTTCTAATATATCTTTTTTCAGATTATGAATTCAACATTACTAAATACAGTACTGACGAAAGTATTGTTCACGAGACAAGGGATCCACATTCGCATCTCTAGTCACTATATATAGATGCATGCATCTGAAATTTCTTAGTCGAAATTCAAGTGCTAATAAGTTCCTCGTGAAATTTACTATTTCCTCCTCTCTTTTTTTCACTTCGACATGTAAATAGAAATCTAGAAATTTAACCGATGAAATAATCATGCCATTTCGACGAAGAAACTAAACGAGATGCATAGGAATTGGGGATGCGATAAAAAGAAATTAAACATAATAAATATATAGTTGATGTACGTTATTACCACATCAAATATGTCAACTCACAATTTCAAATAACATTACCCTGTGTAGCTAGTCTTATTTATAGATACAATATATACATCTGTTATCTACATTGACATTAATTACCGAAAATGCCATCACCTGCACCAATTGCATTTGCCGTCTAGTTTTGTTTTTTCCGTTGAAAAAGAAAATCATAATCAAATTGGGAAAAATTACTAAAAAGTCCTAAAACTATTGCATTTGTACCAATTTAGTCATAAACTTTTCAATTGGATCAATTTAGTCTTAAACTTTTTACATTTGTGTCAATTGAGTCCATCCGGTCAATTTTGATCGGAACTAGCTGACATAGACATCGACCATCATATGTAGCATGATCAGTGCCGACGTGAACAATTTTTTAAAATTTTATGACTTTTTATATATTTCTTTTCTTTTCTTTTTTCTTTTCTTCCCTTCCTTTTTTTTCCGAACTATGGGTTGGCGAGGTCGTCGGCCGACCATCACTAGCCACAAGCGAGGGCTAGCGATAGGGGTGTCAGAACCAAACCGAAAAACCGAACCGAGATACGAACCGAAAATTCATGCATTTTCGGTTCAGTTCGGTTTCGGTTCGGATAATAAATAAATGAATTTGGTTAACATGATGGTTTGGTTCGGTTCGGTTCAAATCGGTTCGGATTTCGGTTTTTTAATGTGGTTTTCTTCCCTTCGCGCGCGCTCTCTCTCCTCAATCTCACTGTTCATTACTGCTCACCTCTCACTGACTTTTCTCTCTCTCACTTTTTTACTTTATTCTCTCTCTTCCTCTGTCTTCGCACTCTCACTGCTCTCCTCTCTCTCTCTCTCTTTCCTGCTTTATTCTCTCTCTTCCCTCACATCATTATCATCTCCCAAAAAGTGACGAAACACATTTTTCTCTCTGGCTTCTTGAAGTTGGGCCAGGTGCCGCGCTTGAGGTGCTCGGAGGCGGTCCGTGACGGGTTGGAGGCGGAGAAGACGGCCTCGTAGAGGGAGTGCCGGAGCTTCACGACCTTGGCGAGGCCAGTGTCGGCGTTGTGGACGAGCATGGGCTCGAGGTGCGCCCAGTACCACGCGCCCTTCCCCTTGACGGCCTTTGGCCGTAGCATGACAAGCCCCTTGTAGCGCTTGTTCACGGCCTCGGCCGTCAGCTCGTCGGCCGATGCCGACATCGAGACCGAGTCCACCCGGGCCGGCGACGGCGGCTCCGAGGTGTTTGTGATGGACGCCATTAACCAAACGGGTCGTCCGAGTCCCGGTCCTCGCTTTTTTGTTGTTAGAGCGGGTTCAGTCGCCGGAAGTTCGGTCTTCGGCGAGTGTCCATGGCCGACTCCGGTGATCTGGTGGGGTCTTTCGGTGGTGGGTCATCAATTGACCTGCTTCTTGACGGGAAGAAGAAAGAAGAAGCAGTCTCGCAGAGAAGGGAAGAGAGAGAGCGGAAGAAGAAGACGAGGAGGGGGAAGGGAAGAAGTGTGAAAAAAGATAAAATAAGAAGAAACCGAAAACCAAACCGAACCAAACCGAACCAAATCGGTTTATCGGTTCGGTTCCAATTCGGTTCGGTTCCTATTTGGTTCGGTTCAAGGAGGCACCCTTAACGATTCGGTTCGGTTCGGTTTTTCAAGAAAACCGAACCGAACTGAACCGTTTACACCCCTAGCTAGCGACACTCGCTTGGTCTAGGTGAGGGCCACAATGCCCTCGCCTGTGGCCGGCGATAGATGCAATGCCCTTGCCTCGCCCCTGGCTCTCGCCTATGGCCACCGATGTTGTTGGCCAGAGTTGTAAAATAATAAAGAAAAGAAAAGAAGAGAAAAAATAAAAATGAAATCAAAAATTCAAAAACTATTAATTTTTTTTTAATATTTGTCCACTTTAGCACCGGTCATGCCACGTAGACGGCTGTGTCCATATTAGCAATTTCCAGTCAAAATTGGTCGAATGGACAATATTGGCAAATTTTAAAAAATTTTAGGAATAAATCGATCCAATTGAAAGGTTTAGTACCAAATTAATAACAATGCACTATGTTTAAGACGTTTTTGGTACTTTCCCAAACCAAACATGAGAGGAATATAGAAACCTTCCAAGTAAAGCAAATCCTAAAAGAGCTGCAAATAAAAAATAAAACTCAAAAAACAAAAAAATATAGCTCGCAGTTATGATGACATTCTTATCTCAAAAGATTAAATATATCATAGCATCAAAAAACAATCGGCAGCCAATTACTGCAATTGTCACTGATGATGGGCACATATTGAGATCTTCCCCTCCAGAAACTAAGACTTGTAGTGTGTGCTTAGGTTCGACCTCCTCAACACAATTGACGACAACGACAACATGTTAAATGCCTCTAAAAAACTCTCAGTTCTAGATTTAGATTGAGAGAAAAAAAAAGGTGCCAAATTTAGATCTACACTTAAATCAAGAAAGGAGAGCGTCCACTAAATCTCGAAGAAGTCATAGAACCACGCTCCGAGCATCCTAGTTGTGGGACTAGTGATGGCGTTCTCAAAAAATTGTCAGCTGTAAGTAGATTTATTCACCGTGACGAGCAAAAAAAAGCAACGACAACGAGCGAAAGACATGCCAAACGAGGCGAAAAAAGACTCCTAGAATAGATCGAGAGAGAAAAAAAAAAGGAAAGGGATAATGACACGAATAATCCCTGAATTTTGACCCAATATACAATTTAGTCCCTAAACTTTTAATTTGTTCAATGTAGTCCATGAACTTTAGGCTAATGTTTAATGTGGTCCCTGAACTTTTAATTTGTTCAATGTCATCCCGGAACTTTTGATACACGTTCAATTCAGTCTCTGAACTATGTGAAAATGTCCAATGTAGTCCCTAAACTTAAATTAATCGAAAGGATTACATTGAACATTTTCATATAGTTCAGGACTGAATTGAACATGTATCAAAAGCTCAAGGATGATATTAAACAAATTAAAAATTCAAGGACCACATTGCATATTGAATTAAAGTTTAGGGATTACATTGAACAAATTAAAAGTTTAGGGACTAAATTGCATATTGGGCCAAAGTTCAGGGATTGTTTGTCATTTTCCCAAAAGGAAATCAAGGCCTAAAAAAGAAAATCAAAGCAAAACACACTCTCAGATTAAAAAAAATTGAAGTCGGAAGCCTGCAGGTGAAGTGTTTTTTTTGAGGGAGAGCTTTTTTGGAAGAGAGATAATTGCCGACAGAGATATTAAGGTTTTCGCAGAGATCTATATTTACCGTGCAGTTGAAATATCTTGTAAATTGCACTAACTTGTGGCATTTTAGGTTTTCTTTGGGCCAATAGTTTCATTTTATTTTTCTGTAAACAATTAAAAACGACTTTTCTCCGAAAAAAGAAGAAGAAAATGGTTCAGTCGCGTAAACGACAAGATACTACCATTAGTCCAAAAGTCAACGTACAACAAAACCAACCACAAGCTAATAATGCTGGCACGATTACTTGCCGCCATCCCCTCCATTTCGCTTTCCCTTCTTGACTCTCGCAGCTAAACCCGTCAAGTGATGATCGTCGGCCAATTATTATTGTATGTTGAAAACTGCATACCTCGCTTATTGATAATCATCATATTATCGGTAAGTATTTTTGTTATTGGTAAGGTTCTGATAACCAAATCGAACTTAATATCGAGCTTTTTATTCACTCAAATTGGCATCATGTCGATAATAACGATTCGGTATTTTTTTGGTGTAAATACTATACAATTACGATCATTTCATCGAAGCAAAAAGGACAAGAACGGAAAGGAAATGAAAGGAAATGAAATGACAGAAATATAAATCAGATCAACCGTTCAAATGGAATTCGATACATAGTCCCTCTCTCTCCATTCACTCACACCTCTCTCTCTCTCTCTCTCTCTGTAAATCACCATGCTCTTCCTCACTCATCTCCTAGCAGTT